CTTGGGACAAGAAGCTAGAAGTTTGATAGATAAGGAATGCATTGACAGCAGGTTGGTTTTCCACCGTGGACAGTTAGAGGGTGACCTTCACCGCATTCAAGAATTGTTTCCTGGAGATAACTTGCGGCTGCATGAACGAGACATTGTCACTACGGTACAACACGTATCTCATTGATATAAAATATATTTGCCATGTAATTTTCAAAGAGATGATCAAGACTTTAAGAGTCAAAAATCGCGATGATGATAAAAATGTTTATGCAAAACAGCCTATTATTTTTTTCGTGAAAAATGTATACGAATAGCGACAAACAACAGTGCTGACAAACGGTATTGCGGACAATGCTCCTTATAATTCAGTCTTTCTCACAGTCGTTTAAACACATCTCGTTTTTCTGCGTTTATGGAAAATGCCCGCGTGTCGTCGGCGTGGCGTTGGAGACGCACATGTATAGTACACACTTCCTTCCCACGTTCATTTGCATATTCATTCGGACATGAGCGCGTATCTGATAATTTCTCCTACAGTCATATTTTCATCTGACTTGCCCGTTGACTGTTTGGAACGGTGAAATTGACGGTGTGTCGTTCGTTCAATAGAGTGCTTACTTTCTGTATCAATACGATAAATATATAGAAACGAACTAGAAACTATGTCACCGAAATAGAGACTGACAGTAATACGACAATGTAAAATGTACTTATACTATTTCCTTGGAAAGTATGTCATTCTCTTTTTTTTTTGTACAATAACGGTAGAAATACAGCGAAAGTTAGTATTATAAAGAAGTAAAAAGAGTCTTTTATGAAAAAAAAAAAAAAGTACTTTATTTCTGTCTTTAAATTCTGATATTATGAATCACTATTTTCTTTGATATCTTAATGTATAATATACATATAATATTTTTTTCTTACGTATTTCGAAATTAAGTATAACACATCACTCAATAAGTCCCGGGCCTGACATAATAGATGGCGCTAATAACAAATCCATATGATTTTTAGAAAGTACTAAACCTTCAAACATACGTGTCAAAATTTTAGCTCAATCAGACCTTTACTTTACAAGTTACAGTAGTTTAAGTGATGCTACTTCATAACGAATGCCCATGATGACGCCAAACACGAATTCTTGCATCAGAACTGAAGAGGCAAAACCGTGATTCATCAATGAATAGTATGTTGTTCCACTGCGATCCAATTTTGATAAATGCGAGCATACTCTAAACGGGCACATTAATGAGCCACATATAACATTGGCGCTCGAGCATGAGCCCGCGATCTCACGATAGAGGCTTGATATCATGTAAATGCCTTCTGATCATTTAAACGCTGATTCGTCGGTGCGGAAAAATTTCACTTACAATTTGTCGCGCAATCATTGTTCGATTTCGCATTGCCACATTGACAATGTTGCGATTTTCACGAGCTAATGTTACTCGTCTTCGACCTTGTCCGCTTCTTCGACAAAATCTTCCTGTCTGTTGGTAACGAGCGTAAACTCGACCGATGAAGGACTGATTAACACCCATTCTTCTTGCAATATAACTCTGGCTCAGTCCTTCTTCCAGAAGGGCAATAATTTGTGCACACTGAATTACATTTAATTGAGGCATTGTTACGATTCTGTTTTTTTGAACGGTAACTTTAGTTAATTCAAACTAAAGGAAGTTTAAACTGAAGTAAGCACTGTACCGCAAATGCTGTTCTAACAGCACTTCAGTTTAAATTTCCTTTAGTTTGAACTAACTAAAGTTACCGTGCTGATTTAAATCCCATCGAACATGTTTGAGATATGATGGGACAAAACGCACGCAATTTGGAAAGACCGCCAACGAATCTCCAAAAAAATAGAAGCAGCATTGCACCGAATATAGTAAGAAATATCTCAAGCCGCAATTAGATCTTGCATCAATATGCATGAGCCTTGCAAAAAATCATTCGAAGACGAGATGGGAATACCAGATTTGAAATGTAAATGACACCTATGCACTTCAGACTTCACCCAACACACTCACACACACGCACGCATGCACACACACACACACACACACACACGAGGTGTAAGTCCGACCGTGTAACTTCCCCGTGGTATACCTCGGGTAATGATAATACCGACGGCAAAATTTTTAGAAATTTTCAGGAAAAAGACTACATAATGCATTACTCACTTCAAATCACTCAATGAAAAAAATTGTAGCATAATGATAAAACATTTTAAACAGAAAATGTTAAACTGTTATTTACAATTAAAGAAATTTGTTATTATATAGCTTTAAAAAGTTTTTCCGTACATCGCTTTGCGACCATTCTTCACGAAGATATGTGAAATTTGAATTTGGTTCTTTTTAATACTGATTTTTTAAATGTCTTTTTAATTTTGTTCAGTAGTTGCATGCAAACTTCAAGATAAAATGACTTTGTCAAAAATTATCGTATTGAGATGTTTAGAAAAGCATTTTAAAGCTTAAAATCTCTACTTTTCAGACCGGTACTTGAAAAAACGGTTTTACTGATATTTCGTGAAGTTACACAAACATAAATAAAAGTACGTCAAATCTAAAAATTTTATACAAAATTTGAGAAGTTCCACCGCACGAAATAAAAATTGTGCACAAATGCGGTTTACATCATTCAAAAGAGCGAATCTTTACCTTTAATTTGTTTTTTTTATAAAGTTCCGTACGATTTTTTTCACTGAGTTATTCAACGTTGAAGCAAAAGTCATTTTTGCTTCAACGTTGAATAACTCGGTGAAAAAAAAAATCGTACGAAGCTTCGTAAAAAAGAAAATTAAAAGTAAAAATTCTCTCTTTCGAATGACGTAAATCGCATTTGCGTACAATTTTTAGTCCGCCCCGTGGAACTTCGCAAATTTCATAAAAAAGTTTGAGATTTGATATATCTTCATTTATGTTTGTGTAACTTCATAAAATCTCCGTGAAACTACTTTTTCAAGTAGTGATCTGTAAAGTAGAGGTTTCAAGCTATAAAATGCTTTTTTATTTTTACGAAGTTATTGTATCTTGAAGTTTGCTTATTTTTGCATAGTGAAACAGGTGTTGCGTTAATCTTGTTGCCCAGTGTATTTTATATTTTTTTAAATTTTATTAGTTATTGACTCTTTACGCCTATTACTTATATTTTATTTTTATTTAGTAATATTTATTTATTGAATATCAAATCGTGAGAGTTTAACCAATGAAAACCAATGAGAACATGCCATAACGATCAAGCTGGACCTTGGATGCTTCTATATATAATTTCGTGTGAATTTATGTGCTACGTATGTAGATTTTTAATTGCGCGTCAAATTTTTCAGACTTAAAACGCAACCCTACTAAGGCATATTTTCACCAACCAGAAATGACCATGGCTATTTTTATTTGTGGTTGGTTTTAACGTCATCGATGCTAACATGTTAGTTTGGTAGAATTCGAACATCCAACCACACCTGGGAGGTCGTTTGCATGTTGCCTAGGGTGGTTCAAAAAACACTTCTATTTTTTTTTTTAAGTCTTACCCTCCAAATATCTTCCACATAGCGAAAAAATGCTTCCAGAATTTTTGCAGATTTAAAAAAAAATATTTAGAGGCCGCGCTATCCCCTTTTGTGTCAAAATCAGTAAAATTATAAATTTAATTTTTTTAACATGTGAAAATGTCAACATTTATTTTCGATATCAACTGTAAACTTCATCAGTGTTATGAACAACCAACGTGACATTTTTTATGGCTTAAAAAATAATGTTCTAAACAAGATACAGCAATAAATAATGGAAAAAAAACAAGTACAAAAATATTTAATCGGCTGATTTGTCGACAGTCATGTATTATGACACAATTAAATATTACGTACAAGTCATTTGTCGGTTGCAGAACCTAAATATGAGCAAAGAAATTGAAATATCAAAATGGCGGATCTAAAATGGCGATAAAAATGTGCTAATATTTAATTAAAATGAAAACAGGACGGTGTTGAAGGCTGCCAATTTATTTTCAACATGTTTTAGATATCCAAGCAGATACGCATTAATAGATAACTTAACACTATGCACTCGAACCTTATGTATTGGAAAAACCAAGTAATTTTGTCTCGCAATTAAATAACAAAAAAATATATATTTGAGTAGTGTAACATTATCTTAATAATAAGTTTGCAAGTTTCATCACTATGAGCTGCATCTCAGAACAAACGCATAATTAGTAATTAGTAATTAGTTAATGGAGTTCTCAGTATCGCGTAGTACGGAAGAATCGTGATGATAAGACTAGCTTCAATTGCTTCTAAAGCCTAAAGGACCAGTTACATCAAAGGGTACTTGTGTTACTCAAGTGAACCAAATAAAAACTTAAGTTTTGACTTTATGTTTCTTATGTTGTAACTTTTGTATGATTTCTGATTTCTTGGCTGATGGAAACAGTTTACGGTGATCTTCGACACTTTGCAGCAGATACTGCTTTTGATTTTCATCATTTGTTAATATCGACTCGATATACTACTGCTAAGCGTGTACGCCTGTCAATCGCTCTCTACGCGCGCGGGTCGCGAGGCGCAGGGATGGTCTGAGGCGTGTCGTCCGAGTTTAGAGGCTCGCGGCGGTGTGCGCGGCGCGAGACGTTTCCCACTCCCCGCGCGCCAAGTAACGATGGCGGATATTCGGTAGTAGTAGGCCGGACGAACGCGCTTATTCGGTTATATTTAAGATCTAATATCTCGTTAAATATTGCGTCAACTGAAAAATGGTATAAGACTTTTCGACTCAGTTCGGTCTACTCTACCTGCTCCTGATAGGTGATCCGCTCGATTAATGACACCCTGTATATCCTCTTCTCCGTTTTCCTTAACCTAATCTGGTCTCCATGTTTTCTTCGTATCTTCCCATCTCCTGCTTTTACCCAATACGACAACGGCCCTGATTATCTTATTATCCAACCTCGGTACCATCCTCTTCCTTCTTCTTTCTTTATCCAAATCTTTTCATCTTCTCTCCAACTTTCTATCTTCTTTTCTTTGTTCTTTTTTCTATCTCTTGTCTTCCCTTCTCCAATTGTCGCCTTGGGTCTGGTTGTAATCTATCTAACCAATGATCCACCTTTCTACTAAAAAATAATTCCGCTGGTGTTCTTTTTGTTACTTTATGTGGCGCATTTCTATACGTAAACAATACGCGATTTAATGCTATTTTTACATCTTTCTCTCTTTCCATCTCCTCTCTTATTCTGCTTTTCAATGTTCGTATGAATCTTTCTGCCATCCCGTTGCTTTGTGGATGGTATGGAGTTACCTTGATGTGTTGTATTCCCCATTTTTTACAAGCTGTCGCAAATTCTTTGGCGATGAATTGTGGACCATTATCTGTTATAATTTGTCTGGGCACTTCATTTCTTGCTATCCATTCCTCCATTATTTTTATTGTTTTTTCCGTTGTTGACTTCATTAATGCCACTTCTACCCATTTGGAAAATGAATCCACTGCTATCAACCCCATGAACTCTCCCGCAAAGTCTAAATGTATTCTTTCCCATGGTTTCGCCGCTACATTCCATGTGTATAATGGTAATTTTGGTTGCCTATCTCTATTCTTTTGACAGTCTTGACATGCTGCCACTCTTTCCTCAATTTCTTTATCCATATCCGGCTACCATACGTAGTGTCGACAAATTCCTTTCATGGCATTTATTCCTGGATGTCCTTCATGTAAACGTGTGAATACCTTATCTCTCATCTTCTCTGGTATGCACATTCTTCCTAACCACCATAAAACTCCATCCTGTACCGATAATTCTTCTTTCCTTCTAGCATATGCTTGATATTCTTTCTCTACCATCTTTGGCCATTGTGTCTGTACCCATCTTCCTACGTTTCCTATTATTATATCCTTTTCCGATAGCTCCTGCAACTCTTCTGGCGATATTTGTAACTCCTCCCATTTTTCTTGCTTAATCTTTTATATTGTTTGATTTCCTTCTATTTTAACCGTTTCATCTTCTATTGGTAATCTTGAAAGCATATCAGCATGTATATTTAACTTTCCTTTTTTATATTCAATATCATATTATAATAATCGACTATGACTAATCGTTTTCGCTGGTGAGTAAGACATTTTTGTTGAATTTCATTATTGTCACATCTTTTGATTTTGTTCTCATGCCAAGTTACAGATACATTGTTTCAATACGACTTTGCCATCTTGTATTGTCAATGTTGTGTAACGAAGAGGGAAATCGAGGAGTCAGTGAGAAATGTGTTGTCTCAATTATATTGGATTAAGGAATTTTTGTTGAACGTCTGAAGAGGACTCAAACCAAGAGTCGAAACTTGTTACGACATTTTACATCGAGCGATTTTTTATACTATTATATATTGACCGATATTCTAATTTTAAAGCGGCTAAGTATTATATTGTATTCTTTTTCTTTAAAAATTCATATTATAATTTTTATGTGATTAAAGAAATTTTTAATGTTTGACTCTTAATTTGTCTTTTTAGTTTCTATTTATGTTTGAGAATAAGAGTCCTTTACTTACTTATTTATTATTATAATTTTTATGTTATATAATCGCTTTCTTGTGTACTTACGAATTGACTCTCATTGTCCTTCATCTCGTTTTAATTATTATTTTCAATATCATATTGATACTCATTTAATTTTAATGCCCATCTAACTAACCTCGCGTTTGTCATCTTTGGCAAATCTCTCTTCGGACCAAATAATCTTTCTAACGGTTTATGGTCTGTGCGTAAAATAAATCTGCTACCTCGTACATACTGTCTGAACTTGTTTACTGCATATATTATTGCTAATGCTTCTTTATCAATCGCTGCATAATTCTTTTCTGCTTCTTTAAATTTTCTTGACGCAAAGGCCACTGGTCTTTCCCTCTCCTTTTCATCTGGCTGTAATAGTACTGATCCACATCCTTCTTCCGATGCATCACACTCAATTACATATAACTGGTTTTTCTAAATAATAAGGTGATAATACATTTTCTTTCGCTAAACAATTCTTTACTTCTTTAAATCTTTTTTCTTCTTCGTCTGTCCATTTCCATTTACTTTTTGAACTTATCATATCATATAATTTATTGCATTTCTCATGTAAATGAGGAATAAATCTATCATAAAATGATACTGCACCTAAAAAAGATTTTAACTGTTTCTTTGACTGTGGTGATGGCATTTCTTTTATCGGTTTAATCTTTTCTTCTAACGGGTGTACCCCCTCTCTATCTAATCTATGACCTAAATAATTTACTGATTCTTGTAATAATTGTACTTTCTTTTTCTGCGTCCTTAATCCTGCCTTTTGCAATCTCCTTAGCACTTCTTTTAAATTTTTTATATGTTGTGCCTCTGTCTTACCTGACACAATAATGTCATCCAGTAACTTCCCCATATTAGGGATACCTTGCAATAACTCATCAATGAATCTTTGGAATATCATTGGTGCCACCGCCAATCCAAATGGTAACCTTTTGAATCGGTAATATCCTATATGAGTTACAATAATTAATAAATCCTTTGATTTTTCTTCTACTTTCATCTGTAAATAAGCATCTTTTAACTCTATTACTGAAAATCTTTCTCCACCTGCTATTTTCTCCAGTAAATCTTCAAATGTAGGCATTGTATGCGAATCTGATTTTAAATATTCATTTAATGTTAACTTAAAATCTCCGCATATTCTTACTCTTCCCTTTGTTGTTTGTACATTTACCGTTGGTGTTGCCCACGTTATTATCTCTGTATTGATTGGATCCACTTTTTCAATGACTCCCATCTGCGTCAACCTCTCCAATTCTGCTTCTACTGGTTGTCTCATAGGAAATGCTACTCTCCTTGCTTCCCATTTCCTTGGTGTGGCTGTATCTTTTAGTATAATACTCGGCTTTTCTCGTTTTAAACGTGCCTAATTCATCCTTAAAAAGTTCTTTAAATTCTACCTCTATTTCTTTCCTAACCTTCTCTATTTTCTTTTCTTTCTCTTCTTTTATTTTGTTAATTCTCACTTCTTTCGGTAGTGGTAATTTAAATGCCAATATCCATGGCAAACCGAATAATGATTCATCTTTCACATCTACCACTACTGCTCTCAGTATTTTTACTTTTCCTTTGCACTCTACTTTTACTTTTGTTCTTCCTAGTACTTTAATCGGCGTATATCCATAAGCTGATTTTTCCCGTTTTGCTTAATCTTGGTTTTCCTACACTCTCCCATACTTCTTTTATAATCGTTGTCACTCCTGCTCCTGAATCATATTCCATTTTTATTAACTTATTATTTATTCTAACATTAATTGTCGCTTTCTTTCTTCCATTCACTATTGCGTTTATTTTATGTAATTCAAATTCTTCCTCCTCTGTTTCTTGATCTGGTGATTCCTCTTCTTCTAAATTTACTTTCTTTGTTTGCCTCCTACTTCTGTATTGCTTGTTTTTCTTACTTAAACACTTTCTCGCGAAGTGATTTCTTCCTTTACATTCGTAGCATTCCACTCCTTGCGCCGGACACTTATATTCTGGTGGTATATGTTTTCGTCCACATCTCCCACATTCTTCTTTTTCTCTTTGCCATCTTTCTTTGTCTTGTTTTCTTTTTATCTTATGTATCGTTACATCTATTTCCTGTGTTTCTGTTTCTGCCGTTTCAATCGCAATTGCCAAATCTACTACTTTTTGAAATGATACTGGATCTTCTTTATATTTTCCTGACGGCCACCTTGTTCTTATTTCTCTGATTGCCGTAATATGTCTTAAATCTCCTGCAAATCTATCTCTTAATCTTTCATCCAATGCATTCGCGTATTGACAATGTCTATTTAAATCCTTTAATCTTGTGGCAAAATTACGAAATGACTCCTCATCTAATCTTACTGCTTGTTCAAATTTTATTCTTGCTGCAAATAATTTTTCTTTCGGCTTGTATACCGTATTTAAACCTTCCACTATCTCTTTATATGAACATTCATCTATATTTTTAGGGAAAAAATGATTTCTTATATCCACTAACGTGTTTGCTCCCATATAAGCCAACAATAGATTTTTCCTTGCTTCTGTTTGTATTACCGCTTCACTTCCAAGTCCTTTTACCTTACACATTCTCTCAAATTGAAACAAATATTCTTCCATTTCTTGTTTGTCCTTATTAAATTCTCCGAATGAGAATTTTTCCATTTTTCTTTCTACTCTTTCTTGTTCGCTCATTGTTGACGTTGTCATTTTATTCTTTTATTTATTTATTTATTTATTTATTCTCGTCGCTAATATAATAAAGTAGACCAAATAGGTTAGACGTTCTTTATTTGACTGCTCTTACAAAGCTCTTTCCTTTGTCTGACCTTCGACTCTACATACACTTCTCTGCCATCCGCCCATCGCTCATCACGCCCTCTCGCTTCACCTATTACTATCCTAACCTAACTCTCCTACAAAATGCTAACGTCTTTGTGTCTATAATGATATTATATAAATGATATTATATGTATAATCTTTTAACTCTGTACCTATATACGTATTTTCAATTCTATTCTATTTTACAAAATACATTAAAAAAACTTATCGCCGCTACACCAAATAAAGAAAATTATTTACTTTTTTAATATTATTTACTATTTTAATAACATATATAACGCAAATTCTTTAAGTTAAAATTTTTTACTCCTAACATCTCTATTCTTAATTCTAATTAATCTCTTTGGTAAATATATAGATTAGAGGAGCCCCCCCCGATGATCATGACCTTGACAACATATGTCGGGGGGGGGCTCCCCTAATCTATATATTTACCATCTCTTTTACTATATATAACGTACACCTTTTAAACGTTATTGTATATATTACTTAAATGTAAGTTGCATAATATATACCTGATATTACTCACTCACAAATGTTTTATTCTTTTACTCGATCATAATTTTTTTAAATACCTAATTTTATTTCAGAATATACTTTTTTATGTAACATTTATATTAATTTATTATTACTTTGTAACTACCTAACTCTCGAATTGCGCGGTGTTAGCTCGTCGGAATATTCGTCCAAGGATTCGAAAGAGGTTCGATCGGTGGGAGAATGCAAGGCAAGTAAAGTCTCGGACAGGTGTATGATAACAAAAACAATCAGCTTTATTGGTTTCGCCGAAACGGCTTATATTCTGTTGGAAAAGAAGCAACAGAAATTGCTTTGCGCCGAGACGGTCGCAGTGTATATGTGCGAGTGTGTGTGTGGATGTGCGTGTATCGGTTTATATGCGAAGCGCAATCGGCGCGGTGTGTGTGTATTACAAGTAGTTTGCGTGTGAGTGCGTGAGTCGCTAGTAAGAACGCGAGTGAGCGAGTGAGATGTGTTGCTCGCGGCGATGTTATAATGGGCTAGAAAAAAAACGGACTCGCTATGCTCTTTTTCTCGCGGTGTCGGCTAGCGCAGCTGATTAGCTGTCGATTATCTAATTTTAGAACTGCCGGCGCGGCAGTCTATTACCCGTAACGCGCGGTTATTCGTGCTTTTTATTGCGGGTCGCTTATTCGTACTGACGCGGGCGATGACCAGCGGCCGAGAACGCTCCACCCCGGGCGAATGCTGGTCAATCGCAGTGCGAATGCAAGAGGCGGTCGGCACGGGCCAACGGTCGAGTACGCTCGACGGAGGCAGAGTACTCTCTGCCCCGGACGTTGGTCGATGCGTGCTGCACTGAGACGGTTGCCGAGAACGCTCGGCAGAGACAGAGCACCCTCTGCCCCTCGGTTCCTGCCGTTCGGTGCTATGGGACGCCTTTTCGATACCTGCCGAGAACGCTCGGCGGAGCTGGAGAACTCTCCGGCCCGGTTTTCCTGGTGTCGTATTCGGCTCTAGGAGGTCGGATTCGTTGCTAGGATCTGGTCGGAACAGGAATCACCTGTTTCTCCGTAACGCGGCATTTTTATATTATCGAAAATGCCGCGTTCGTGGGTTTTCGGATTCGCTCGCGTTTTCCCGTTGTCCGTGCTTCGCGATGCGCGGGACTAAGGGAGGGTTCACACCTTGACGAAAAAGCAGAAAGCGGAAGAGCAGTTAACCGATCAAAACTCGTGCTGGTAGTAAATAGTACAAAACTAACAGAAAGTCGACTACCTGATTGGCTACTGCTTTTCCGCTTTCCGTTTTTCCGTCAAGGTGTGAACCCGCCCTAAGGGTGCGATTACATACAGCGCGGTACGCGGTACGCGGTAGGCGGTAAAGTAACCAGGAACCGCGGCGGCAAGCCGCGGTACGCGATGAAGTAACTATAAGGTAATTAACCTGAAAAGTTAACGCAAATTTCTTCCAAGTGACCAATAAAGCGCATGGTAATTATTAGATTTAATCGATTTAATAATGTTATCATGGCCATCAACATCATATCTGTAGTCTCCATGACAAAAACAGTCTTTAATTAATGCGAAAATTGTTTTTTTTTCCTACCAAACTCCGAACTCCGAAATTATTTCTCTTTACTTGGCAGTATACACAGTATATCCCTGTGTTAATTTCTAGTTATGCCCCCAGCTGACCGAGCCGATGCCGACCATGTCGTTATCGTTCCGCCTTTCTTTTTTCCTACTATTACATGGAACGCGGAAAGGCGGCACGGTATAGTGACAAGTTCACATTTGTATGCATTTTCTTAAATGTATTAACTTATTTCTATGCACATTTTATCAATAATCTTATTTTTTCAACAAATCTGCTTAATAATTGCATTTAAATCTATTAATTTCATTAAAAAGTGCATAGTAACGTCAACTTGTCACTAGTCCGTGCCGCTTTTCCGCGCAGTTTTGGCTCCATGTAATAATAGGAGAAAATTAGCGCGGCTTACCGCGCGCGGTTCCTAGTTACTTTACCGCCTACCGCATACCGCGTACCGCGTTCCGCGCTGCATGTAAAATCACCCTAAGTCCCAAGCAGTAGGAGTCCGCGGCGATCGATCTATTTCGGTCTCGCTCGGCGGTGCTCGGCGTTATGTGGCTGTTACTGCCGCTTGTACCTGCGAATTATGCTTTATTTTCTATCGGGCACTATGCGCCCTCATCACTGCATTGCGCAGCAATACAGCGGCGTTCGGCTGGATGGTGTGTGCCGGAACGATGGGAGGATGCATCGTTACAACTTGTAAAGTGTTTTTAACTTTAAATGATTATATTTTTATTTTAATTAAAAGATTTAATATATATTTTTTTTTAATAGAAAATATATTTGAATTAAATAAAATAATATTAGAATATTTAGTTTTAATTTCCTAAGCAAAAATAAAAAGAAGATAGGTCAATAAAAAGCATATAATTAAGGATTACGGTAAAAGTGCATAAAAAGGGAGGCCAGCGCTATGACTTTGACCTTGATATATTGGATGGATCGATATATTCGTTCGGTTTTTGAAGGCTAAAATGAAACTTTTTTTTTTCATACAAAGGATGAATTTTAATCAATGATATATTCTCCGTTTTTATTGATGACCTCGTGCCATCTTTCCAACAATTTCATTATTCCGCTCTTATAGAAGGTCTGAGGCTTAGAAGCGAAAAACCGGTCGAGGTACGTTTTCACAGCTGTCTGATTAGTGAACCATTTCCCGTTGAGGGAGTTTTGCAGGGACCGGAATAAGTGGTAGTCGGATGGCGCAAGGTCTGGTGAATACGGTGGGTGGGGCAAAACATCCCAGCCAAGTTGCACTAATTTTTGCAGAGTGATTATTGCGGTGTGGGGTAGCTGGCGTTGTCATGGTGGAATATGACACCTTTGCGATTGACCAGTTCTGGACGCTTCTGTCGCAATGCTTGATTCAATTTCGTTAGCTGCGTGCAGTAGACCTTCGAATCGATCGTTTTTCCCTGAGGAAGCAGCTCATAAAACAGCACACCACGATGATCCCACCATATGGATAGCAAAATCTTCTTCGGATGCAGGCCGGCCTTCGGCGGGTGGCATTCGGTGGCTCGCCAGCGGTTCCCCACGATCTCTTGCGCACTATGTTGTCGTAGATGATCCACTTTTCGTCGCCAGTCACTATTCGTTTGAGAAACGGGTCGCTTTCGTGCCGCTTCAAAAGTGAATTGCAGATGGCTATGCGGTTGGCCAGGTTCTCCTCGGTCAGCTTGTGCGGCACCCAAACATCGAAACGGAACACGTAGCCAAGCTGTTGCAAATGCTTTTGAACGGTTCCATAACCTATTTTAAGTGTCTCCGCAATCTGTCGCACCTTTAGCATCCGGTCTTGCTCAACCAGTGCCTTGATATCATTCGAATCAACCTCAGTGGGCCGACCGCTGCGGGGTCCACCTTCAAGGCTCGTATCTCCGGAACGAAATTTTGCAAACCATTTCTGAGCGGCACGTTCTGTTAAGGCATCGTCCCCGTATACGCCGCATATCTTTCGGTGGGCCTCCGCAGCTCGCTTGCCTTTCTTGAAGTAATAAAACAAAATATGCCGAAAATGCACCTTATTCTCCGACATGTTTACAGGCCTGTAGCATAAACAAAACTAATGCCAATGAAACCAAAGATGAAATTTTGACAGATGAAAAGAGCGGACTGTCACCTTTCCAAAACATATTTTGATTGCCCGATTAGGCAATTAGAATCGGAGATATTCGGAAAAAATTTGCACTACTAATAAAAACCGAACGAATATATCGATCCACCCAATATGTTGTCAAGGTCATGACCCTGAGTAATCTCCAACAGGTTTTAGCCGCCACTCGTCCTTCATTAAAAAGTTATTAACAATCATAGTTTTAAAATAAACGTATGCTATATATGTATGATATTAAGTACTATTCTACACCTTTCCCTGTTCAGGAACGTTAAACTTTCCACGCAAGATAACTTTCACCCCCCTCCCGCACCCGCCCCGTCGATAGAGGTCTCCCCCAACAGTGCAATCATAGCAACAGTACAATCATGGAAGTCGTGTGCCCCTTAACAAGGGGGGGAGGGGGGTGAAAGTTACCTCGCGTGGAAAGTTTAACGTTCCTGAACAGGGAAAGGTGTAGAATAGTACTTAATATCATACATGTATTTGTATATCATATCTTAATTTTAAAACTATGATTGTTAATAACTTTTTAACGAAGGACGAGCGATGGCTAAAATCTGTTACTCATAACCTTGGCAACATATGTCAAGGTCAAATTCATGGGGGGAGAGTCCCCTAATCGGTATTTTTACCGATATTTTTTTCATAAGCA